CGCTCAAAGCAGTAGATCGTCGCGCCCTCCACGTCGCACACGAGCGTGTCGGGACTCAATACCCGCACAAACCGGTGGTTCTGAACGTGCACGAGCCGCAAGAGCGATGGCAGCGTCCGCAGTTGGCGGCCCACGTCCTCCAGCACCCTCTGCAGCGCGCCTTCGTTCGACGGCAGCGCCACGTCGCAGATCACGGGCGATGAGGCGTTTTGGCGAAACACGAGAATGCGAAGCGCGCACCGGAGCACGATCGGGATCGAGAGGCTAAAGCATAGGAACGGGTCGTGCGAGACCGACGTGTGGCCGCACGCATCACAGACCGTCTGGCTCTGGAGAAGACCGTGGAAGACATCGGTGACGATCGAGTGGTTCCCGGCCACGTGCGCACGCCACGCAGCGTCGTCGGCGGCCGTCGGTTCGTGAAAGCCCGTGCTGCGCTTGACGTCTTCGTGGATTGCATCGAGAAGGGCGGCCATGTATTCGTGTGCGTCTTGCTGGTCGTAGCCATCGAACTGCGGCCGCGCTTTGGCCACGAGCTTTCGGAGGGCGGACGGCGACACGGTCGTCGTTGGGATCGCTCCCGTCGGCGTCCAAAGCGACGCGAGAACGGAGGCGACGGCGGAGACGACCTTGCCTTTCGTGCCGAGCGGGTTGGTTTTGTTGATGTGGCCAACATACTGCGTCGAGAGCAAGTACGAGCGCAAGACGGGTGTCGCGGATAGACACTGGATCGCGCAGTTGAGAAAGCACGTGTTGCCCAAGTTCAGCAGCCCGACGGCCCCGGGGTAGCCCGGGTTGAGGCGCGAGACGCCGCGGTCGTCGTCGTCCGTGCGGCTGTGGCGCGGCTGGAGCTTCCCCGAGTCGTGGTGGATCCATTCGTTGTACATGGCGTGGAAGCCCACAAAGGACACGAGGACGCGCGTGCCGTCGGTGCTGACACGGTGGACGACACCCGGACGCCACACCTGCTCGCAGTCGAACGCGTCGACGGCGTCGCCGATGCGCAGCGGACGAAAGTCGCGGGGGGTGCGCAGCGAATCGCGCGGCCAGTCGCTCTGGCCCGTTAGTCGTACCTCGAGGAGGAGGTCGGACGATGGCACGTCGGCGGCGGTGAGATCCGAAGTGACGAGAACCCAGTTGGCGTCAGCGTCACGGCACCACAACCGGGCATCTCCAATCGCGTGGTGCAGGGCGACGGCGACGTCCTTGAGATCGACGAGGCGTGCACTCGGCGGCGCCTGCAGCGACCGCGACTGCGGGCTTGGCCGTCCGTCGTGCTCGGATAGAGCAATTGCAAGCGTCACGAGGCGGTACACGCCGTTGTAGCACGGCAGCGCAGGGCCACCACCGAACCTCGCTTGGAGCGCGTGCCACGTCATTGGCGACACGGTGACGTAATCGACGCCGTCGACGAGCGTGTCGGACGCCATCATCGCGTCGGCCAGCGCCTGGTTGTGGATTGAGAGCGGGCACGGCTCAGCGCATTCGTGTTGGTTGTTGTCGTGGTGGTTGTCATTGTTGGAGTCGCTCGGGTCGGCGTACGCCCGCCATGTCTGCCACCACTCGATCGCGATTGCAAACTGCAAGGACGGCGACGGCGCGTCACGGGGGTTGCCGTCATCGTCGTCGGGTGGTGGAAAGATGGCGAACGGCGCGAGCAAGCGCTTGAGGAGGCGCGGTGGCAGCGCTGCGGCAAACGCGTCGCGCGTGAGCATCTCGGAAAAGGCCTCGGCGCCGACGTCGCGGACGCCCGAGAGCACATGCGCCGTCTCGAGCAAGAGACGCAGCTCCTTGCGGTGCATGACGTTCTTCTTCTTGAGTTTTCCGCCCGGAAACGAGAGGCTGGCCGTGAACCAGTCAAAGACAAACCGATGCGGGTCGAGGTCGAGGAACTGGAGCACCTGGATGCATGTGACCGCGTCGTAGGGCCGGAAGAGCCGATAGCAGCTCGAGAGTGTGGCGTGTGGCAGCGCCTCAAGGCGCGGAAAGAGAAGCGTAAAGCCGACGAGGTCCAATGGTCGATGCGGCGTGTCCTTGTGGCGCTGGAAGAGCCGGAACTTGGCCGCGCTGGCCGCGTCGACCGCGCGCACGTAGCGGGCGTAGAGGTACTGGACCGCAATGCCAGACATGGGCGCGCCTGGCAGGCTCATCGCGAACGTGTTGCGGTCGGCTTCGGACCGGCGGTCGTCCGTTTCGCTCGACGACCCATGGGATGTTCGGTCGAGGGTGGGCAGCTTGGCCTCGGGCGACGCGGCTTCGGGCCCAGGCAGCTCCTTGACCGGACGCATGGCGCTCAAGTGCTTGTCGCCCACGTCCATCATGCAGCAGACGTCGACGTTGTTCATGCTGCTGCTCTCTTCCGCGTCTCTCCTCTGGCGTCGGTTCCTGCTGCTCTTAATTATCCTTAGAAGATTGGACGCACTTGGGGTGCGCGCACTTGAGGTTCGCACTTGAAGTTGCCATTCCTTCAAAGCGTGGAAACCTCGCCGCAAGAAGGGAATGCCTGCCAGCTGGAGTGGACCCAAATGTGCGGTGGATGCGCCGCACCGATCTTTGTCTCCCAATAGCACACGCAGTGGGCAGAGCGCGGTACCCATGCGACCACGTCCGTGGCCATGCAGCGAGAAATCCAGCACCACAAGAACGCGAGTGAACTTGCGTGTGCGCTTCAAGTTCCCGCACCTGAAGTGCTTGAAACCGATGACGTAGATGTGTCGAGTATACAATAATAATATGCATATGGCGCGGACGATATTAAAATACGCATACAAACACCAAGTGCATTGGCAGTTGCCGTCAGCGTCAAGCGCCGGATTTGCATTAAAAGACAGCACCTTGTTTTATTGTATGACGTGAACAATGTATGGAGAGGCCAATTCGAGGCATAAAAAGACGAATAAAAAGAGTGGCGCGGGTTTCCGATGGATTAATATAAAATATTGGACCCGGCCCAACCAGAGATTTGCCCCCATTTTCGCATTTCGCCCGTCGAGGTCACGAAGATATCATGCTCGCCCGGTCGCTTCGCTCCAAGGTCGTCCAGCGGGCGACGGCGCGCTGGTCGCGTGGCTTCGCCGCTGGCAGCTACGACGAGATCCTCAACGCGGAGCGTGAAGGCATGGACTACGACGTCGTGCTTGTCGGCGCGGGCCCTGCGAGTCTCTCGGCGGCCATCCGCCTCAAGCAGCTCAGCCTCGAGAAGGGCACGGACCTCTCGGTGTGCGTCGTCGAGAAGGGCGCCGAGGTCGGCTCACACATCGTGTCGGGTACGCCAGTTGGCGAGGCGGCGGCGACACTCATCATCGGTGCTGCATGTAGGCAATGTGTTTGAGCCCCATGCGCTCAACGAATTGATCCCGGACTGGAAGGAGAAGGGCGCGCCGCTCGACACGCCGGTCACGACCGATAGCTTTCTTATCATCTCGAAGGAAAAGTCGATCCAGCTGCCCAACTTTTTGCTGCCGCCGCAAGTGGTACGCCCGCCGATCCCCTTCCGACTCCACGTTCGCTCATGGATGCGTAGCACAACGAAGGCAACTATGTCATTAGCTTGGGCAAGCTCACGCGCTGGCTCGGCACGCAGGCCGAAGAGCTCGGCGTCGAGATCTACCCGGGCTTTTCGGCGTCCGAGGTCTTGTACCGCGAGGATGGCTCGGTGCGCGGTATCGCGACGCGCGACGTCGGCCTCGAGAAGGACGGCACGCCCAAGGAGACGTTCGCCCGCGGCATGGAGCTCCGTGGCCGCGTGACGCTCTTTGGCGAGGGCTGCCGCGGCTCGTGCAGCGAGGAAGTCATGAAGAAGTTTGAGTTGCGCAAGGACGCGCAGCCGCAGACGTACGGCCTTGGCATCAAGGAGGTGTGGCGCATTCCCAAGGACAAGCACACGCCGGGCCTTGTCCAGCACACGCTCGGGTGGCCGCTGCAGTCGTCGCTCATGGACAAGACGTTTGGCGGCTCGTTCCTCTACCACATGGAGGAAGACCTGGTCCAGATCGGCATGGTCGTCGGCCTCGACTATGAGAACCCGTACCTGAACCCGTACGAGGAGTTCCAGCGCTTCAAGACGCACCCGGCCGTCCGGTCGCACCTCGAAGGCGGCGAGTGCGTCGCGTACGGCGCCCGTGTCCTCAACGAGGTGCGTCCTCGTCCTGGCCGTCATGACGTCTCATGTGTGTGTCTAGGGCGGCTACCACGCGATCCCCAAGCTCTCGTTCCCGGGCGGTGCGCTCATTGGGTGCTCGGCCGGCTTCCTCAACAGCATCAAGATCAAGGGTACGCACACGGCCATGAAGTCGGGCATGCTTGCGGCCGAGGCGGCGTACGAGGCGCTCACCAAGGACGGCGCCGAGCCAGTGGCCACCACGGGCGAGATTGACGCGACCGAAGGCGCCGCCGACCTCTCGAGCTACGAAGGCGCGGTCGAGTCGTCGTGGATCGCGGACGAGCTCAAGAAGGTGCGCAACTGCCACCAAGCCTTCCACTGGGGCACGCTTCCGGGTCTCATCTACTCGGGTCTCTCGACGTTCATTCTGAATGGCAAGGAGCCGTGGACGATTCCGACGACGACGGTCGACTCGGCCAAGACCAAGCCGGCCAAGGAGTGCACGCCGATCGAGTACCCCAAGCCCGACGGCGTCTTGACCTTTGACTTGCTCTCGAACCTCCAGCGCAGCGGCACCAACCACGCCGACCAGCCCGCGCATCTGCGCATCAAGCCCGAGCTCAAGGACGTGCCCGCGAACGAGTCGTTCCCTGTGTACGCAGGCCCGGAGCAGCGCTTTTGCCCGGCCAAGGTCTACGAGTACACGGACGGCTCGGAAGACGGCGCGAACGGCAAGCCGCAGCTCGTCATCAACGCGCAAAACTGCATCCACTGCAAGTGCTGCTCCATCAAGATGCCCAAGGAGTACATCAACTGGACGGTGCCCGAAGGCGGTGGCGGCCCGGCCTACGAAGTGCTCTAAAGCACGTGCTCTCATCGTTTCTTCTCTTCCACTACACGTTGTCGCTCGACCTTTCTAACCCATAAACATCCCTATTCCCCACTCGTGTTAACAAGCCTTGCCGCGAATTCCACGAGCGAAGGGACCCATGCGTCTCTGCATCGCCCCTCGTACGCCAGTCGAGCCAATTGTGGTTGCGATCTGCACATCGTACGCTAAACGCCGGCCACGAGCCTCTGTTCGTGTGCTTAGTACAAGACAGAGACGGTGGAGGGCCAAGGACGACGACGACGACTTCTTACAAGTCGGCCTTGGCGTCCGTGACGTTCGTGATGCTGTTGACAGCGTACGTGTCGGTCCAGCCCTGGACGAAGATGCTGATCTCGTACGTCTGGCGCGGCGCGTCCGTGGGGCAGGCGCAGTCTTGGACGGCGTTGGCCGCGCGGTCGACAGCGCAGCCCTTGACGCGGAACTTGTAGTTGATACCTGCGACCACCTGCTGCGAGACGCTCACAAACGTGGTCGCGCAGACGCGGACGCCGTTGGTCTCGGGCGCGTAGTGCGCGTCGTCGCCAACGGCCGCGAAGAAGTCGGTCTTGGCGTCCAGCGAGACGCGGGACTTGGTCGGGCCATACCCGCCCGTGATGTGGTCGGCGGTCGCCATCGCGGCGACGATCGCGAGGAGCGTGAAAAGCGAGCGCAGCATCGGTCGGTGGTTCGTTCTTTGACGGAGGTCGGCGCAAAACGGGTTCTGGGACGATGCGTCGAACCACGGAAGCCAGAAGATGCGATCTGGAAAAGCAGCTGGCGCCGGCAAGATCGCATCTGCGAGCGAGCTGGCAATGGCGGGCGGGCGACGTCATGCATGGCAATAGAGCGCAGGCAGACAGCATTGGCAAAGGCTGGCTCCTGCAGGCGCCGCGCGCACCGCCGGCGGTGGCCAGAAAGGCCAGACTGGACTTTTTACCGAGCGAGGTCGACACGGTAGTACATGTAAACGTACTGTAGGGGACGGAGGCTGGCGAGCGGCATGCCACGCAGGCCTCGACCACTTGGTTCTCGGCCATGATGGCGCCGTCGACGGACGCCATGAGGTTCGTCCAGAGCCGTTTCCAACGGCAGCTATTTCGATCGGATGCGCGTCCTCCAAGCGAGCCTCGTCGCGGCGGCGATCGCGCTCGCGATGGCGGCAACCTGCTGCCCCAACTCGTGCTCGGGCAAGGGCAAGTGCAACATTGCCGGCAACGGCTGCGTCTGCTCGTGCTTTGCCGGCTTTCTCGGCGCCGACTGTTCCAAGCGTACGCCCTATGCATGGAAGCGCGCAGGGTCACGCGTCGTAGGTGCGTGCCCGACGGGCAAGGCGTGGGCCAGCACGGGCACGGGCGTCGACCAAGCGCACGTCCGCAGCGTCTGCTCGAACCGCGGCACATGCGACCATGCAACGGGCGTCTGCCGCTGCGATCCTGGCTTTACAGGCGCGGCCTGCGATCGGAGTACACTGACGACCTTGCATCGGATGGGCCATCTCACTGCTAGCGATGCTGGCGTAGTGGGCTGTCCCGGCGGGTGCGGCAAGAACGGCGAGTGCCGGTCCATGAAGTACCTCGCGACGCAGAAGGATGCGGGACTGCCGCCGCCCGTCGTGTACACGCAAGTCTGGGACAGCGACATGATCTACGGCTGCATGTGCCTCGACCGCCACACGGGCCCCGACTGCTCGCAGAGTACGACAACGTGACGCATCGCAGTCTTATTGTTATGGCGTAGCGCTCTGCCCGACGGGCGACGATCCGCTCACGGGCTTTGCCGGCGACCTCGTCTTCGGGCAGCAGTTGAACGAGATGCAGGCCATCACGTGCGCCGCCACGGTAGGCTCGCGCTTGCCGTCGCCGTCGTTGGCACTCTGCGTCGTGTATCAGGCAGGCACCTTTACGCTGTCGTTTCGAGGGCTGTCGACGGTCCCGATCCAGTGGAACGACCCGGTTGCTGTCTTTGCGGCCAAGCTCAACGTAGGATACGAGTGCGATGCTCGAGCGACTGATGGCGAGCTCTGTGGGGTAGGCACTCTCGAGTCTCGCGCACGTCGCTGTGACGTATGCCAGCACGACGCTCCTCGCGTGTCCGCCTGCTGGCAACGTGATTGCGATCGAGTTCCTGCAGGATTTCGGACCGTACGATGACACTATTGTACAACATGGTGGAAGTATAATGTTTCCGTAGGCAGCCGCTGCTCGTGGGCAACCCGGCGAGCTTGGTGTACACGGCTGTCGGGGGCGCGGTCCAGCTCGAGACAACCCGGCTCCAAGCCGGCACCAAAGAGAATGCACCGTGCTCGAACCGCGGGACGTGCGATGTTGGCACGGTATGTGGCGTGTGGCGGGTCGTTGAGGGCTCGATCCACGAGGCTAGGGCGTCTGCACGTGCTACGCCGGCTTTGACACGAGCGATGGCTACGGCAATCTCGGTGCGCGTGGCGACTGCGGCGCGACGACTGGCCCCGTCACCAACTGCCCGGTATCGACTTGATACGTTGACATTAGCGAATCATGCGGAGTAGGGCACGGTGACGCCGTGCAGTGGGCATGGCTACTGCTCGGGCGAGCCGCAGTACGCGTGCCTCTGCTACCAAGGGTGGACCTCGGGCGACTGTTCGATCCGCACCTGTCCTCAAGGGCCGGCCTGGTTCGACACGCCGACCAACAACAACGACGCTCACCACGACGCAATTTGCTCGAACGCAGGCATCTGCAACCAAGCGACCGGCCTCTGCGAGTGCGCCTCGGGCTTTGAAGGCGCCGCGTGCCAGCGCTGTGTGTTGTCCATCGTATCTCTCCCGAGGTGTCTCATGCGTGGCTAGTGGCGTGTCCAACAACGACCACCGAGCCGTGTTCGGGCCATGGCCAGTGTCTTACCCAAGGCCGTCTCTCGCTGCAGTCGACGTCATGGAATGGAAGCCCCACGCCGTTCACGTACGGTGCGACGCCCAACCACCCGATGGTATCGATCCACTCGCCTTGATACACTGATACAAAACAGGATCGTTAATTGTGGTAGACATGGGACGCCCACCACATCCAAGGCTGCTATTGCGACACGGGGTTTGCTGGCCACGACTGCGCCTTGCGTGGGTCTTTCGATTGTATCAACATATCAAGTGAGCTGCACGTAGGCACGTGTGCGGTCGGCGACAACCCGCGCACGACGGGGCAGACGAACGAGATGCAAGTGCTCATCTGCACAGCGACCGCGCCATCGACGTTCCAAATCAGCTTCCGCGGCCAAACGTCGGGACCGATTGCGACGACGGCGACGGCGGCCCACGTGGCGGCCGCGCTCGGACTCGTGCCGGCGATCGGCGCCGTCTCCGTTGTGTTTAGCGCCGGCGCGACGACCGTGTGCACGCCAGCGGGCACGAACCTCGTCCACGTGACGTTCTTGACCACGTCGGGCGACGTGCCGCCGATGACGGCTGTCGTTGCCAACACCGTTGCGATTCCGTCGTTTCTGGTTGCGACGGACGGCGCTAGCGGCTCGATCCGAGGCACGACCGAGAGCGAGCCTTGCTCGGGCGGGTGCGGCATCGTCGATCCTTCGTATGCGCAACAACAACGTGTAGGGGCGTGTGCAACCACGCAACGGGACTCTGCGCCTGCTTTCCCGACTTTGCGCAGAGCGACGAGCGCGGCCAAGCCGGCCTGAGTGAAGACTGCGGCTACCTCGTGCCGTATCAAGGCGACATGATCTACTATTCGTACGAAGACAGTGCGTAGTAGCCGCATACGAGTCGACGTGCCTAATGGTATCCATTGTGTGCTTGCGTTCTGCACTGGAGCCGGCATACGTGGGGCTTCAACAACGAGCGCAGCTCTCCCGTCGGTGGCATGAGCGACGCGCCGACTGCCTTTGGTGCCAAGCAGCAAGCACCTTAGGAATCGTGACAGCCCTCAGTTGGCTTGTGCCAACAGCGTGGCATCGATGCGACGCAGGATAACACGGGCCTTGGACGCCGAAGCGACACCGTCGGCACACATCCACGCAGCAGCGCCCGAGCCCTAAACCCCTTGCCAGCCGAGGTGGTGGCGTCGCCCAGGCAGAAGTGGCAGCCAACCTCCTCACTATCGACAATCTCCACGCCGTGGGATGCAAAGCACAGGTCATCGTTGAGAGCTGCGTTACTCGAACCACGAAAAGGCGTAGCCAACGCCGAGGGACGTGGCTTTCTCGCCAAAGCGGCGAAACTCGTCGATGAGAATCTCGCGGCCGGTGAGGCACAGCGCCGCATCGTCGTGCGAGAGAATCTCGGTCGCGAGCTTGTAGAACGTTGTAAACGTCGCCGAGACCTCGTCGACGTCCTCCGTGTCGGCAAACCAGTTGTCGTACATGTCCATGTTCATGTAGATCGCGAGAAGCGACCCGATGGCCTCGGGCAGCTTGGCCGCCGCCAAGAGCTTGCGCGTCGCCGCCATCTCGCGGGCAAACAATCGCATCATGGGCATCGACGACCACGTGTCCATCATGGAGATGCCGCTGTACGGCTTGTTGCCCGTGGCCTTCATGATGTCGACCGTGATCGTCTCGAGCTTCTTGGCCGTCGGGTCCGACACCACCTTGACGTCGCGGCGCGGCGGACGATCCGCGTCGTCTTCGTCCTCACT